TCATAGTAAGCTTAATATTTTGAAGAAATGCTGAGAAAAAATGATGATGGCAAAGTAGAACTTTATCATAATATAACTGAAGTCCAAAAATTTCAATCACCCCAAAATGTCATCATCCTACAATATGAACACAAAGGGCAGGGGAACCTCACAGCTTATTGGACTGTGTTTCTGGGCTAGATATAAATCCTTTCCAGTTCTGGCTGCATTTGGTGCCATTTTGTGGCAGTTGGTCCCCTCAGGCAAAATTGGAAGGAATGATTTTTGTTTGGATCTTGAGACTAGCTGGAACTTTTGGGAAAATAATAGCAATTTAAAGAACCACCCAATTAGTTCATTTTGCAGGGAAATTATGCAAACAAACTACTAAGGAGGGGGAACCTCCCCCCTCATCCTCTCTTCCTGAAAAGAGGTTTGCTGCCTGACCTCACTCCCAGAAGAACATAATCTTTATCAGCCCTCAGCCCCATCGCAGGGTACTTTGTCCATGGGCTTACCTTACTTTGATTAGCATGTTGAACAAAAAGGTGTAAAAAGAAGTCATATGCAAATAAATATTTTTTGATGGCACCATAGATTGCCTTTATATTTCAGACTGTCTAACAGCTTATTTTAATCTAGTCACTAATTGATCCTGCTTCACCAAGCATTTACTGACGGAAATGGTTCTACCACATTTAGAAAAGAAATCAAATCTGCTTACTGACTCAGCATCATTGTGTTTCTAGTTTCATGCATGGTGGGTCCCTTACAGAGCTGTATTTAATGCAATTCTAATTAAAAAGAGGGGGCAAGTGTCTAGAGCTTTCTCAGTGCTGTCTCATCTTTTGTTTTTGTTTTTACAGCTCACCATGTTAAAACAGGCACTTGTGAGGTGGTGGCGCTCCACAGATGCTGTAATAAGAACAAGATAGAAGAGCGGTCACAGACAGTCAAGTGCTCCTGTTTCCCCGGGCAGGTGGCAGGCACCACAAGAGCTGCTCCATCGTGCGTGGATGGTGCGACCTTTACATTGCTCGCTGAGATAGTAGATAGCTGGGGAATGCTTAGACCTGGAACCCCACTATAATGCTGTTGACTGGGACCAAGCCTGGGGGACCACACTATCAATTATGTGGTTGATAGGAGGTTACTTAGAGGACATTTCGAAATCTAAAATCCTTTAGAGGTCTAAGATCTGATGCAGTTTTTGTAAGACAGGCATTATAATGAGGTTCCAACATGTCCATGTGCTCCTTACTTCGATACTGNTTCAGTAGGATATCTTTTTGTTTTGTTGTTGATTTGTTTTGCACAGCAAAGGAAATCTTTTAGTTTGATGTAGTCTCATTTGCTTTTGTTTTCCCTGCTTGAAGAGACATTTCCAAAACATATTGCTAACAGCTTATGTTTTCATTTAGGAGTTTTATGGTTTCAGGTCTTACATTTGAGTCTTTAATCCATTATGAGTTTATTTTAGTTAGTGGTTTAAGAAAGTGACCTGGTTTCATTTTTTGCATGGGTGTTTCCTGTTTTCCCAACATGATTTATTGAAGAGACTGATTTATTGTATATTCTTGCCTCCTTTGTCATATGTTAATCGTCCACACAGACTCATATCCTTTGCTTCTGCTCATAAGTGATTCATATTACTTAGCTTTCATTTCATTGGCCAAAGCAAGTCACATCGACACACCTAAATTTAATAGGGTAGAGAAGTTAGAGATGTACAGCACTGCCATGTGTCCAGAAAGGAGAGATCAGAAAGATTGGGTGAATAGCACCAATGACTTTCTCCTCTGATTTTTCTTGTCAGAGAAAGTAAAAAGTTTGTTATCAGGAAGAGGAAATAGATGAAGTGTTTTCACCTGTAATTCTTTTCCAATGTATGATAAAATCTTATAACAAAGATGCTAAAATGGCCTTGGCGCTGAAATGCCTTTTTTCTCAGAGGAGAGGTTGGTGGAAACTCACTGTGTCCTCCTGACTGCCCTAGTTCTGTGGAGGAGAACAGAGCCTGAGCCACCATCGAGCTCTCTCCAAAGCTGTCAGCCCAGTGCTCTGCCTAACAGCTTCGCCATCTGAAGAAGCCCTAATAATTCTTACCTCTAACCTGGCTTCATTCAAAAAGTCTTGCAGTATTCATCTCATCATGACTTACATCTCTGTTTCCCTAAATCACTATCAGAAATCCAAGTATCCTAAATAATCTATCATCACAGAGATATTTAACCTCCATTCTGCTCTGCAATCCGCCCTTTCTTTCATTCCACTGAATCCAATGTGTCCTCTGCACTTTACAGTATGTGCCAGCCAACTTCCTGCCAGACAATTTAATGCCTCTTCCCAGTAAATTTACTTTTCCTCCTTCTGAGATGTTTACTTCATATATTCTTTTTCTTCTCAAACATCTCAAAATCAGATGAAGTTAGATAAGAAACTGCCTCATCTTCTCACCACCTAAGCTACTCACACCTACGTGCCTCTGTATCTACAAATCACCCTTCACTCTCCATAAAATGGATTGAGTGTCCCCTTACCAGTCTAATGCCAACCCCCTCACGTGCCTTGAGTCTCAGTTCCTTTTTCCTTTTCAAGAACACTTTTTTAATTACCCATTTTCTCTCCTATATTGACTATTTCGCTCTCTACAGGATCATTCCTGCAAGTAATCATGCTTTTATGGCATCCATTTAAAAAATCCCCTTGACCCATGCTTCATTCTAGCTATTGTTCTATTTCCTTCTTCCCAACACAGAAAATCTCCATGAAAGTTATATAATTGTCTGTACAGTTTTATGTCCCATTCTTCACTAAATATAGTTCAATCATGACTTTATTTTCATCAGCAACAAAAATGATTCCTAGCAAGTTCAAATGCTAACAATGATAGAAGAGTACCTACTATGATGCAGGCAGTGTTCTAAATACTTTATACATAACTCATTTAATTCTCAAAGCAATCCTATGAAGATGGTGCTATTAATATCCCTCTTTTAGACATAAAAACTGCTACTCAGAGATACTAGGGAATTTGCCCAAAGTCACTCAGCTCCTAGGAGGAGCTTAGATCTGAACCCCTTTAGATCTGGTTTTGGAGTCTATGCTCTTAACCACTACATCGTTATTTTTTTAATGGTCAATTATTTCTATTTATTGAAACTTTCAGCAACTTTTGACACAGTTTACCAATCCCTCCTTTTGAAGCATTTTATTCTTTGGTTTTCCATGTCTTTATATTGGGTTCTTATTCTCACACCTCACGTGTTGCTCCTTATCAGTCTTTTTTTTTTTTTTTTTTTTTGCTGTTTCCCTCATTCCAGATATAGGTTTTG